TGTTCGAAATATTTAAAAAAAAACTTTTAGAAAGTAAATTTAAACACCCTGTATTTCGGAAGCCACGCATTTTTCGACCCATGTTTATATAGACTTTATGCATTAATTTTAAAAGTTCTATCGAATCTTAAACTTATGCAATAATAAACTGAAACACCCTGTATAATCAGTGACATTAGAAGTGTTGCACCCAAAAAAATATTTCTACAGCGGCGTCTTACCCTTCTACGACCATCTTGCGCCAGTTGAAGCGTTGACGACAATGGTCCGCAGTCAGAGAAAGCACTAACCGTGGACGGTATGAAAAATGTCACTTTTCAAGTTAAGTATTACCTCTGCGGGATTGGGAAAGAGAACCAAATGCGAAAGAAAGGAAAGCCGCTGGGTAACATACCAACTGAAACTTTCATTTGCTGCAAGATATACGTCAACTCTTTCTATTTCGTACAAATTGTAATGATGTCCTCGATATTCGCTTGGCGTGAAATAGAACTTCTTGGTCAACGTTGAGATGATCATTGGTCGAAAATTATTGGAAGGAATGCAGGAGACCAGAGTAATGATGTCCTCCCGCTGTCCGTACTTTCTCATGTGCTTGCCTAGTTTGTTCATGAGCTTGCCGTGAGTCTCATCTGAAATTGAAAAATATTTCGATAGAATTAGTAGAAAATGGAAAAGGTATCCTGGTATGGCTAGAATTTCAGCAATAACCGTTCAGCAGCTATCAAGATTACTGTATGAGACAGGTTGACAAAAACGTGTGAAAAATAATAATGATAATAATTTGTTGGTAGTATTACACAAAAATGTGTTTGCAAGGTCAGTTAGAGTAGAACATAAAAGAGTAAGTAAACACAATAAACAATACGAAACAAGACAAACGTAAAACACAAAGTGGCAATAAAAGATAAAAAAACTTGATAAAACCTAGTTTAAAATTTAGATGAACAATAAATAAGATGGTTAAAAAATTATGAAATAGTAATAATTTTTTTATGTTTGTAATCATAAGTCCTTACACACGTCTGGAGAACAATAAAATGTCATACAAAAATAACACATACACAAAACACAAACGAAAACAAAGTAATAAAACAAGTAATCAACAATTATGGAACAAAGTCGGTAAAATCATTATTTAAAAACTCTATACTAAGAGACATATAAATCCGAACACCCAGTTTAAATGGTTTTATTTTAATAAAAGTTGGTGAATGTATTTATCTTACTGTAAATAACAAGTGAAAAAATGTTCAGCCTTCTAAGTTGGGCATTCCGGTTTTTATACTGCTTTTTTTTAATTCACTAACGCTCTAAAAATGAATATTTCAGCCGCAATAAAGAATCAACGTTGGCGGATTTGGTTCTTGACATCCTTACGATCGGTTACGATGCCTAGAGTACGGAGACCTGTACGATTTCGTCAACTTAGTGAGTTTGATAGGGGCCGTATAGTGGGACTTCGGGAAGCTGGACTTTCTTTTCGGGCCAATTCCAGTTAGAGTGCAAAGAAGTGTAGACACTGTGGTTAGGTGTTGTCAGGCATGGCTTCGAGAAGGCCGTACGCAAAGAGCAATGGACACTGGGACGCCGCCATAGAACAACAGACCGTGAAGATCGCCGCCTAAGATCATTGGCCTTAAGGGACCGTTTCTCTCCACTACCAGGTCATTGCAAATGAATGGTTTGCAGAACACGGAAGACCTATTGCCATGCGAATGAGAAGTTTTGGCTTGTTTTCATACGGCCCCACTAGGTCCTCCCTTTAACTCGAGAACACCGACGTAATCGCCTTGAGTGGTGCAGACAACTGTCACTCTGGGATCAGGAATGGAACAGTATTTAGTGACGAGTCTCGATTTTGTTTAGGCATGCACGATGGTCGTGCCAGGTTAGAAGGCGACGTGGTGAAAGGAGGAATCCACAGTTTTTTGTTGAAAGACATGTTCATCACACTGTTGGCGTTATGGTTTGGGGTGCTAAGCTTATGGTTCAAGGTCACCTTAATCTTCATCAGAGGTAACATGAACGCGCAGCGTTATATCCACGAAGTTCTAGAACCCCATCTTTTACCCTATCTTGACACCCTGGCAGATCCAACTTTCCAACAAGATAATGCCCGACCACATGTTGCAAGAGTCACAATAGACTTCTTTCAACATAATGATGTCACATTGTTACCATGGCCACCAAGATCTCCCGACTTATCCCCAATTGAGCACGTATGGGATATGATGGGTAGGAGATTGCTCAATTTGCAACGTCCTCCTCAGACTCTAGAAGCACTTCGAGGGGAGTTGGTGGTTGCCTGGAATGAGATACCACAGGTGGACATTGACCAGATGATCAGAAGCATGCCTAGGTGCGTTGGAGAATGCGTCACATCAGGGTGCATCCACACATTATTAAAGGTCAAAGGGCTTTAAAGCAGTGCAATCATTTTGAAATTTTTATCATTACTTATTATGCTTCATTAAGTACTTAACAAAATTTTATTAAAAATAAAACCATTTAAACTGGGTGTTCGGATTTATATGTCACTTAGTATATATTGATTGATGCTACAGTTTGGCAGATCATTGATGTAAATCAAAAAAAGAATCGGTCCCAAGACACTTCCTTGTGGAACTCCATGCTTAATATGTACATTGTTAGATAAACAATTTTCAAAACTAACATACTGTCTTCTGTCTGATAAATAAGACCCAATTAAGGACAAGCTGTTATTAGTAAAACCATATAGCGACAACTTTGAGTCAAAATGTGATGTTGGACACAATCAAATGCTTTTGTAAGATCATAGAAGTTAGCGAGAGCAAACATGTTGACAGTTTTTTTCAAATTAAGACGTTCAAAAGACTGCTTGACGTAAAACCTATTTGACTTGATATCAGATTATTAATATCTAATACTCGACTTCAGCCTGACTTGATTTCAGGTCAAGACAAGTCAAGCAGCTTGAAAATCAAGTCAATTCGTGAATCTCTACCCTGTATATTCAGATACTCGGACTTAAGAGTGGCGTACAATGTGTCACGCTGCTCTCTTGCATTGTGGTACTTGAGTAATAAATATGGCCAGTTGTCAATTCAAACCTGGAAGTACATACCTGTTGTTTTATTGTAAATAACCAGTAGTCAGCTTCAGGGGGGGTGTCATAGGTAAGAGAATACGTCGGAGCTCTGAGCTGAGTCGACTCGAATGCCACTTCATGTATCATTCTGATCTAAAAAGATACAAAACAAAATATTCCAATAATCCCCCATGTTTGGTTAATGAAACCGCATATGGTGTCCCGAAAAAAGTGTGCAATATTATACCAGCGGTTTGTAGAGCCTAAAATAGGAAGAAAAGTTTATATAAACATAGGTCGACAAACGTCCCCTAAGGGCGCTACGGTCTTTTAAATGGGCTCCCGTGAAGATGGTTTTTCCTTAAAATTTCCGAAACGTGTTGAGATAAGACATAAAATTTGGTATCCAAGCCTAGTTTTTATGCTGAATTTAAAAATATTAACAATTTTAGACAGTTTTGTTTGGAAGCGTATGTAACAGGGACGGACTCAGGTTATTTTAGCGCCAAAATTTTTGTGTGATTCTATTTTTAAAATTCAATTTTAGAATTTGAAAACTTAGGGTTTTCTACATAAAAAGGTACTCTTATTGAATATCGATAAATTGTGCCATTTTTGAATAAATCAAACTAAAAAATTTGTCACATGATAGGAAATGTACTGCGAATTTAAATGAATTGTTGAATAATTAGCCATGGCAACGAAAAAACTAATTTAATAATTGGTAAATATTACATAAATACATATTTCTATTGCAACATAGCTAACATTTAGGCAAAAACAAAAGAAATAAATTTTTTCTACGAACGAAATTGAAATTTGTTTAAAAAGAAGACATACAGTTGGATATACTTAAAATTAGCTTTACAAGAGTGTTCAAATAAATTCCCATTTGTTGGATACAGAGTCTCGCTCGACGAACTAATGATTGCGTAGCCCGAAAAGTGGAAAGCCTTTTTCTTCTTATTTCATTTGCAGCCTGATGGATTCTTTGGAGTAAATCTTCTTGAGTATTTACTCCAGTCAAGTAAACTAGGTCTTTTATTGACCCCCAAAAATAGAAATCGAATGGATTTAGGTCAGGTGAACGTGGCGGCCACGCTATAGGACCTCCTCGGCCTAACCACCTGTCTGGAAAATTGACATTCAACCAATTTCAAACATTGCGTCCAAAATGTGCAGGGGCGCCATCATGTTGAAAAAACATATTTTCTTGCAACTGCTGGCGCACATCCAATGGTATTATATCCATGAGCTCATCTGGAGAAAGTTCAGATACACCTCTGAATTAAGACGATTGAGAGGTACAATAGGCCCAGTTACTTGATCCCCAATTACTCCTGCCCATAAGTTCAATGAAAATCTATGTTGGAAATTTGTACGGCGAACAACTTTTGGATTTTCATCTGACCAGTGATGCATGTTATGGAAATTAATTATTATTTTTAGGATAACTATCAAATAGGTATTCATATATTATTCTTACTATTGATCGAGATACATCCATAATTTCTGAAAACATTTCGTATGCTTATTTGCGGATTATTTTCAAACATATTTAAAGCAATATCCATACGATGATTTCCCAGTGGCCTTCCAGAGCCCTGCATGCGCTGAAAACTTCCATGGTTTGACAAATTCCTGTGAATATCAGTAAAGATTCGACGTCCAGCTACTCTGCGATTGGGAAATCTTCTTTGATATTCCCTTACGGCTGCCAATGAAGTGCCATTGCAAAACCCGTACACAAAATGCATGTCAGTCAGTTCTCTGTCTGTAAATCTTGACATTTTAAATTGATTTAATAAAAATTTTGATTTTAATCTAGTAATTTTACACTGCTAACAATGTCAGCTTAACGTCAAAATAAGTCATAACAAATCAAAACAACTTTTGTTTGCAGTCATGGCTAACTATGTATAGTATAATCAACAATTCATTTAAATTCGCAGTACATTTCGTATCATGTGATAAATTCTTTAGTTTGATTTTATTCAAAAATGGCACAATTTATCGATATTCAATAAGAGCACCTTTTTTATGTAGAAAACCCTAAATTTTCAAATTCTAAAATTGATTTTCAAAAATAGAATCACACAAAAAATTTTGGGGCTAAAATAACCTGAGTCCGTGCCTGTTACATACGCTTCCAAACAAAACTGTCTAACATTGTTAATATGTTTAATCCAGAATAAAAAACTAGGCTAGCATACCAATTTTATGTCTTTATCTCAACACGTTTCGGAATATTAAGGGAAAACCATCTTCAGGGGAGCCCCTTTAAAAGACCGTAGCGTCCTTAGGGGACGTTTGTCGACCCATGTTTATATAAACTTTTCTTCCTTTAAGCTCTGGAAACCGCTGGTAGAATATTGCACACCTTTTTCGGGACACCCTGTATATGAAACTCTTATTAATGTAGGATACTTCGGTCACAACAGTAACCTTGTTCTGTACATGACACTTTTTAAAATATAATTAAATATTGTCAAAAATGTCAAGTACTGAAAGAAGGTCACCGTTTCACCGAAAAAATTTCAAATAAATGGGGTTTCATTAACCTGACAAACATGAGGGATTATCGACATGTAAACCACGGGATACCGGCCACTTTATGTCTATTTAACATCATTAACACAAAAAGAAGATGGTAGACAAGGACCAGTCGACCGAGGCGGTACCACCTACTATATTTTCCAGGTTGTCTTATAAATGTCAGCATGTTTCCACACCTAAGCTACGTAGTCGGTTATCTTGTCCCAACAAAGAGATTAATGATGATGGATCCCCTGAGTACTAAGAATTCCGGACAAAAACTAACTCCACTCTCGGAATGCCCGGGTGGAGGGTGGACTCGAGGGAACAACATTGAAGATAAAATCTGTTTCACGAACATCTGCGGGATTAACAGCAACATTGATGCTGTTCATCACTACTTGCAATCCGATCGTGCCGTCATGCTTTTCTTGGCGGAACAAAAATCTCAGAGTCTGCACCGACTAACCATCTTAGCTTCCCAAATTACGAGGTGCATATCACACTGAGAAGAACGGGGAAGTTTGTTGCTTTTGTCCGCAGCAAGTCTGTCCTGCTCCAGAGAACAAACATCCACCAAATTTACTTGCTGCCTTTATCGCTTTATAGCTCTACTGTTTCCCCGCGACTCGTCACATGAAAGTAGCCTGTTGGATCTCTTGCTGATCACGCATCCTGACCCTTACAGCACTGCTGTCCTGTCCCCTCTGGGTAGCTCAGACCACGGGTTGTGGAGGTTAGGTTTCGGTCAGAACCCGCTGTGGCAGCAGAAACTCGCACACGTCGCATAATGCGGGACATAGCCAACTGGGACGGGCTCAGAGACTTCTTCTCTACCTTTCCTTGGAGAGATGTTTGTTTCACTGTTGCGGATGCGTCGGCTGCCTGTTCTTCGATACCCGAAATTATCTACGTCGGGATGGATGAATACATCCCTCATACAGTGGAAAGTGCCTAAAACAGGGTTCAAAGGCTGATTCAACAAATCGCGTGACACTGCTCGCCAGCAGAAGATAAAGGCACACAGAACCTTTTTACAAAGCCCCACTGTAGAGAACAGACAAGCCGATGTTTCCAGTCCAGATACAAATATAACGAAGCTGTTCGCAATGCCAAAACGATACAAAAGTTAGGAACAGGGTAATGTCGCAGATTGAAGGGAACTTCTCACAGAGTAGCCTTTCAACACTTACGTGTCAGGATGGAACGATCGTAACCGTCTCAAAGGCAAAGGCGGAAATGCTTGCCAAGGTATTTGCTTCCAACTCCACCATTAAACGCCCCCCCCCCCCCCCCCCCCCAACGCCCAAGTGCCGTCGATTGAAAGGGTTCCCTTCTCTATGGAAATTTGCTGGAATAAGGGCGGAAAGAGCAAAAAGGAATGCGCGGGCTGTAGAGTGGTCAACTAGGAGTCGAAAATTTTATAATAGAATTAGAAGAGTACAGTGGACCTCCGGTAATCCGACAAACATATGCAGGGCAGTGTCGGATTATCGAATTTGTCGGATTATAGAGCACTGCCTAAGACCCCCTACAGTCCGGAATTTTTTACAAAATAGTACCTTGTAATCCGACAATTACATATCCAATGGTAAGATTATATATGTTATGTATATGTTTGTACAAATCATACATAGTTTATGTATGTCGAATTAGTAAATTAAATAACAATAGAGAACTTACGTTTTATTATAAAATTAAGCATAAATGCACATATATATGTACCTAAAATAATCAAGAATTATTAATCAAAATCATTAATAAATTTATCAAATTATGAAGCTTGGAAATATTCATCAATTTTTTTTTTGTTTAAGGTTGTTATAACGCGAAATCAGAGCTTTGTCCCTCAGTCTTCTCAAAGTAAAAGTTCGTTGTAGGTGTACCATTCTCTTCAGCCCATTGTAAACCTAGCTCAAAGGCGTTAATTGCGTCTTGTGCTGTGACTTGTGGAGCAGTTGCAATCACATCGTCGTTATTTTAATGATTGTTTGTTGTATAATTAGAAACCTCTTTTATAATCTCTTCGTCAGACATTACATGAAAAACATTTTCCTCTTTATCCATTCCACTGCACCAGATTTCCAAATCTTCCGGACTTATCTGTGTTTCTGTAGCGACTTGTTCTATAACTTCTGAAGTTACACTGATTTGTGGAACGTTGCTAGGAGTGGTGACTATATCTGGCCATAACTTTTTCCAAGATGATTTAATAGTTGATGACGGTAACGCATTCCACGACTGACAAAGAGCAAAAACCAAGTCTTTAATATTAAATTCTTTTAAAGTTTTTTCTATTGGTTGGTCTTTTGCTACGGCTCTCTTTCTTATAGTCTTGCTTGACAAATTGAATGATATTCTGGTCCATTGGTTGAATCAGTGCAGTGCAATTTGGCGGAAGAGAAACATCGCAGTGATGCATTTATCCTCAGTTGTTAGTTCTTCTTCAACGGATGACCGGGAGCGTTATCAAGAAGCAACAACGCTTTTTGAGGAAAATTATGATCTTTTAACCATTTTCTAACTTCAGGTACGAAGCATTCATCAAACCACTTTTTGCAAAGGTCTTTTGTCATCCATGCACTTTTTTGTCCGTAATAGTGTACAAGTAAGGTAAATCAATGTTTTTGAATGCCCGTGGTTTATTAGATTTCCCAATGACCATCATCTTAAGCGCCTGTGTGCCCGCAGCGTTAGCACATGGTAGTATGGTTACACGCTCTTTACTTACTTTTCGTCCAGGTACGGATTTTTCGTTACAAGAAACGAAAGTTTTGTTAGGGATCACACGCCAAAAAAGCAATGATTCTTCTGCATTGTACAGCTGTGACGGATCAAGATTTGAATCGTTCACCTTTTTTTTATTTCCTTATAAAAAACTTAGCTTTCATGGCCAACATGGTCCTGAAATTGGTGCATGCCTATTTCTTTCCTGAAGAAACCACATGTACAAAGCTTCTTCCACTTCTGGATGTTCAGCTTTCTTGAGTGTCTGTCCTTGTCTGGCCCGCAGTCAGTAGTTGACACGAACTTCTTGATCTCATGGTTTCTTTTAATGTCATAAATTGCGATTTAAGCGGTCTAAAATATCACATTTTTCTTTAATTGTCAATGTTTTGTGCTTTCGCTTCTGTGTTTGTGATGACATTACTAGGTACTATACTTAATACACAATGAATAAATAGTAAACAATGAACGCACGCTAGGCCATACCGCTATCACAAGTAGTCAATTTCAAACAAGTAAAACAATGCTTACGCGTCGAGCACGATAGCGGTGGCGCGTACAAGTTGTATCCTGTTCAAACCTGCGTGATCTACATTAGCGAAGATTGTCAAATACGTATGCATGTAATATTCAAAGACATGTCGGATTACAGGGGGCGCCGGATTAGACAGGGGCCGGATTATCGGGGGTCCACTGTAACTTGAAAGGTGCGAATCTTCTGGTACTCAGAATGTTGTACTAGAATTCTACGAATACCTACCTCAAATATGAAAATTTTTGGTTTATTCCTCAATCCCTTGCAGTAGTTACAAGTGAACTGAGTCCATATTTGTTGGATATCAACCGGCATATCTTTTTCCTTAAACCGGATATATATTTTTCCGTCAAGTTTTGTAGAGCAGGAGAAAAATAGCATTAGACCATTTGTATTAGAGTTATTTGCTTCGTCTTGAACTGAAAACATCATACAGATTTTTTATAAGTTTCCTATAATGGAGAGATATACACTGAAAACCAAATTTGTCTAACGGCTTCAGTTCAGTGTGTACGAGAGAGAATTGTGTATAGATACAGTGCTTTTCTTTAATGTCCCCCTCTCCTTTGATATTTTGAACGGATCAATTCAAAAAATTAAAACTTGAGGTAATGAAATTTATGCGTGGATACCGTATTTTAGAGTAAAATTGACAGATGAAAATGTCAAGATGGTCGCTGGGCGCCATCCTAGAACAAAAATTATATGAAAACGGGGGTCTTGTGGCACATCTTTCTCAAGCTCCTGACGAGTATTTTATAACCCTAGAATATAAAGTCAATACCTTTACCTACTACAAAATGGTGGTACATCCAATAATTACTTGAACACAAACCCAATAACATGCATATCTCTAGAAATACACACATCATCAAAAGTGTTGGACACACTGGCCTACTGGGAAACTATAGCCTTCTAATTTCAATCTTTGATATATTTTAAATTGGGGATATTTTTACTATATTTATTTAACAAAAAGTTAAATTAATTTCATTAATATGAAAAGAAAAGAAAGTTAAACAAGTAAGGTACCAAAATTTTATTTTTAAAAACCAAAATTAAAGAAAAATAATTATTCTAAAGAAAAATAAAACATAATTAATAACCAGTTCGGTATCTTCTAGATCTTAGCAGTGCGTTAACACGCCTTGGTATTCCTATTATTCGGTGGTTAATGTTTTCTTGGGGGTAAATGATTCCACTCTTCATTTACTGCTGCAGCCAGCTCATTCCGTACGGCTCGAGTGTCCCAAATGTTTCAATGGGGTTCATGTCTGTTCGCAGGCCACGGCAATCTCACTATTTGGCCCCTTTCTAGAGCCCGCTGGACCCTTCTCGCTCTATGTGGCCTTGCATTATCATCCATAAAAATGAAGTTGTTACCGAATTCATTTCGCAAAGGTTGAATAATGGGTTGTATGACATTTTCTCATGAATTTCTGCAGTCATTGTCCCCTGGATCTGAATTGAAGGACTCCGGTGGTTAAGCATTATGCCTCCCCAAAACATTATTGATCCGCCCTGATATGGGACAACTTCTCGGGCCAAATTTAGTCGCTGTTGATGTCCTGGTTCTCTCCAAACTCTTATTCTGCGGTCATCACTCACCAGTCCAAACCTAACCTCATCTGTAAATACCACATTTCGCCACTGTGGTAAAAGCCACTTCTGATGTTCTCTAGCCCACTGGAGACGAGCAGCAATTTGTCTACGAGTATGACGTGGAACCCTTAAAGGTATTTTAGGGCGCAAACTTGCCATTCGCAATCTTCTTCTGATGGTAGAAGTGGAAATAACTCTTCGAAAGGTATGTTGAATATGCGATCTGATAGCTGTACTTGTTGATAATCTATTCCTTCGGGCAAATAGAGCAATATAACGATTCTCCCTATCATCTGTTACTCGAGGACGTCCACTGCGTGGCCGATTTTCAACTGAGCCAGTTTCTTGGCATCTTTGAATTGTTCGAATAACCGAACTTCTTGGGATATCCAAATCCAGTGCTATTCGGTGATTTGAAAATCCAGCTGGGAAGAGGGCTACTATTCATGATCTATCACATTAAACAGAAATTTCAACTCGCGGCATTTTAAAAGTTACAGTATAAAATCTTATTTTAATACTTTTTGCTCAAACACTACCGTTAAACTGACTTATTTCTATAAAAATCCAAACATATGTTTATATCAACGTTTTTTTGCGTTTTTTGCTTGCTAAATATATAAAGATTTTTTGTTCACAAACAGAATGTAGATAACGTACCTCTAGACGGAAGGTCCAACATTTTTGATGATGTGTGTAATTGTAATTCCATGCCGTATCCACAGCAATAGCGATAAAAACTTGTTTTGTTATTTTTTGTTGGCAGTGACAAAAATATACGAATAAGTACGAAAACAAACAGTTAAAATATTCTTTTATTTATAGTGCGACGCGTAACTTTCACGAAACCGAAAGGATTTTAATGATCGTTTCCCGAATCGTCCTATCTTTAGAAAATATTTAAGGGAACTTGTATCTAAATTTACAGCTACTGGTAGTGTAAACAACAAAAAGCCCCCAGGTCATCCGACCATCCCGGAAGAAAAGCAAGTTCAAATAATTGGTGAGACCATAGTAAATCCCCAACAGTCTACTTCCTCCATCGCGAACGTATGTGAGGTTTGTCCTTCCACTGTATGGAGACTTTTGAAAAAGAACAAGTATCACCCATACAAAATTCAAATGGTACATCACTGTCGATGAACGTGATCGAAGAACAGAATTCTGCAAGACTATGACGGAAACCATTTCACGGCATCCTGCCTATATCCAAAATATTTATTTTAGTGATGAATCTACATTTTTTCTCAACGGTAATGTGCATCGACAAAATTTTCATTATTGGAGTGACACCAATCCTCACGTCTTCCGGGAAACTCATACTCAATATCCACAAAAAATTAACGTTTGGGCTGGGATATTGAGAAATCATATTGTGGGGCCTCTATTCATCGAACAAACTTTAACCGGGAAACTGTATTTGGATATGCTGGAAAATACTATTGACCCTCTAATCACCGAAATCGTCGAAGCGAATCCTAATGAATTCGATACTGATGATATTGTATTCCAACAAGATGATGCTCCACCACACTTCTACAGACAAGTTAGTTCCCCGGTCGTTGGATAGGCCGTCGAGGTCCTGTGGAATGGCCAGCTCGGTCGCCAGATTTGACCCCTTTAAACTTTTTTTATGGGGCTAATTGAAGCAAAAGGTGTACGAAACTGAACCTACTTCAATATTGGATATACGAATAACAAATATTTGTAGAAATATCATGTTACTATGTTTGAAAATGTTCGACGCGAAATTACGGACCGGCTGTTATTGTGTCAAGAAGTTCAAGGCAACCATTTCCAGGATCTGCTAAGCTGAACTCAACGTATTTATTCGAATTATCAAGTTAAATGTCAATGTATTCAGGTAATTATTAAATGTACCACCATTTTGTAGTAGGTAAAGGTATTGACTTTATATTCTAGGGTTATAAAGTACTCATCAGGAGCTTCAAAATGATTGTACCACAACACCCCCATTTTCATTTAATTTTGTTTCCAAGATGGCGCCCAGCGGCCATCTTGACATTTTCATCTGTCAATTTTACTCTAAAATATGGTATCCACGCATCAATTTCATTACCTCAAGTTTCATTTTTTTTAAAGAAAGGCACTGTATATTAGAAAAAGATAGAAGCAGCCTGGCTAGCGAAACCCATCACCGCGTTGCCTTGCAATGCTGACGCGGCAATCTGCGCAACCGTTGCTCGGTAATGATCTTTGCTCTTCAGCCGACTTCTATCTCTTCCTAACCTGTATTGATACACACTTCTCGCGCAGAACTCAAGCAGTCAGGCAAATTCATTTTTCCCTGTATGCTATAATAATGAATGCTGATATCGACATGAAAATCAGTAAAAACATATTTAACTGCAGTTAGAAATGCTTCTGTCACACAGCTAAGGAAGTAGCGTTATGGCTATGATTTCTATTTTATGGAATGTCCAGAGAATCCTGCAACTGAAGTTGGCCACGTCATGACCTAATGTATGACAAAACTTTGTTTTAGTAAAAGTTTTATAGTTTGGTCATGCTCCGAAATCAATTCTGTCCCATTTTTGTCTCCAAACCATAAAGTCGTTTTTTGATATTTGCGAAGGGTCACCCTCTTTCAATATAAATGCATTTAAAAGCAAATAATGGCAAAATGCGAATAACAATAATACTACTCGACTAATTTGCACAGTGATCCTCCTTCATTCTGTCCAAGTCAGATTTAGGAGCGAGCTTCTATTAAAATTTAGACTTTGATATGATATTTATGTGAGTTTCTCGCCATCTCAAGGGGGTAACACCACGAAAAGCCCTAGATATTAAATTGTTTTTTGTGAAAGAAAGGTTAATAAAATAATAATATCGAAGGAAATTATTGAGCACTGCGAAATACAATTTTCGAAAACGGTACGCAGCATAACTCGAATAATTGTCGTTATTTTGATTCGAATTGTTTACAATGACTTTAAACTAACATTTCATAAATTTAGTTATTTCAATTATTATTTACTAATAATTGGTTTCCTTATTTTTTGTCAAAAATTGAACGTTTTCAGTCGAATACTCGCCAACAAAAGGAATCATGATTTTAAAATATTTTAGGTCTTCCTTTAGATATAAACATGAACAACAAACTTTTTTTCTTTCTTTGATCAAATTTGCCGCAGCTACACTGCGTGTCTCAAATTCTATAAGCTTCAGGAACATGACTGCGTTTCCGCCAGTTTTGAATATACTGTCTGCGCCATCTATTACTTTTTTTTACCTATAAGTTTATGTGTTACCATGTGAGTCAAAAGTCATGTAGTATGCATAAATCAACTGTCAAAGGTATGCCATTTATAGTCATGGATTCGTTTACAACACAGCAGCACAGTTTGGTTTTCCAAACTTACGAAAACGGTCGAAATACTTTTCGCAGACTTCGCACTAGTTTTGGCCGACATGGACGCCCTACAGAGCCTGGAATTCGTTGGATTGTTAATCGTTTTGAGGGAAATGGTTCAGCTGAAGGTCGTAGACCATACCAACATGCTCGTCCAGCTCGTACTCGTGAAAACTTAGCCGCAGTGAGTGAAAATGTGCGAGAAGATCACCTCGACTAGGCACCGTTCGCAACAATTTGGAATTAGTGAGACCACTTTACGCCAGATTTTACACATTGATCTACACCTCCATCCACGCAAAATCCAACTAACACAAGAATTGAGGCCGGCAGACTATCAACAGCGGCGTGTTTTTGTTAATTGGATGCTGGAAAGAGAAGACGGATTTTCGGTCGAAGTGCTCTTGTCTGATGAGGCTCATTTTCACCTCAATGGGTACGTAAATAAGCAAAATTGAGATTCTGGGGGGCTGAAAATCCACACCAACATCATAAACAACCTCTCCATCCTGAAAAAGTGACTGTTTGGTGCGGATTATGGGCTGGTGGCATCGTTGGACCATTCTTCTTTGAAAATGCCGAAGAAAAGGCCATTACCGTCAACGGAGAACGTTATCGCGGCATGTCAACAGACTTTTTGTGGCCACAATTGCATCGGCTCACACGAAATTTCAAGACCCCATAATTTCACTAAATTCAGATGTCAGTTAGCCCCCGAGATCGTGCGATTTAACACCACTTGACTATTTTCTTTGGAAATGTTTGAAAGTAAAAGTGTATGCGAATGGTCCCCGTACAATTCAAGACTTAAAGCGTAATATTCGGACTGAAATTGCGGCCATAGACCCGATTATTCTGGGAAAAGTCATAGAAAAATTTGATGTTTGGATATTGGCCTGTAAACGAAGCCGCAGTGGTCACATGACTGAAGTTATTTTTCATACATAAATGGCATAAACCAACTTTCATTTATCAATAAAAAAATTCGACTTCACCTCGTAAAAAGCGTGTTGATTTTTCAAATAGAAAAAAAGGTAATAGATGACGCACCCTGTACCTGTATGATAATTGTTTTTTGTCAGTTAAATGTATGCCCAGTATCATCCTCTGGTATTATTCTTATATTACCCTTTCTTCCAGAAAAAAAATAACAAAAATGGTTTTTAAGCCATTGCAGTGGTGGTGATGAAATGCATGCTTAGTTCTGAATGTCCCAAAGCACACCTGATTCAAGCCTTTTTTCAAAAAAAAAATATACAGGTTGTCCCAGAATTCGACGTCAAGCCGAAACCGGGTGATAGGCAAAGTCATAACAGCTATCAGAAAAGTATTTAAAAAAATTTGATGTATGTGTTTTGAAAATTATAGGTCTTTGAAAAAAATATAGAAATTTCACACCCTACGGCAGTCTGTCAACTCCTGTTACTACAAATATTAACTTTTTTGGATTTTATTTTTACAATGTAATGATGAATAATGCATCTTCAAACTGGTGTCTCAACCTTACAGCCAACTTTTCTCGTTCAGGAAAAATTGCCACTTATTTCCCAACCAAGTATTCCAAAGTAAAACTTTGCTCAACTTTAACTGGCTGTACTGAAAAAAAATGTACTACGAGAGTTTGGCAAGTAACCTTAAAAGTTGGCGCATTTAATAACGATTCCAAAATGGTATAACACTTAGAAGATTACCCGTTAACTTATGCACAATTTTTATTTGAAAAAAAACTGATGAAAATTTTTCAAAATTTCCTAATTAAACAGCGATTATGAAAACGCACAAGGACCCTTAAGGATAACTGTTTGCACAACAGTGGGCATCAAAATGCTGCTGATGATGATTTACCTTTACAGCAAATGCTCAAACTGTTTTCCTTCAGCCGCAATATACGCTCGACATCTTCTTAAAAAAGATCGGGTTATTAAACGAGCGAATCCACGGTTATTAACAAACTCAGCTGCTTCCAATAGTCTTTGGCGTAGCTCAGCTACATTTTGAATCGGCTTGAAATACACTTTTTCTTTTACAGTTCCCCAGTAAAAAGATCTAAAGGATTCAAATCAGGTGATCGGGCTGGCCACGGTATTGTACCAGACCGCCTTATCCATCTGCCTGGAAAGTTTTGATCGAGATACTCTCTCACTGAGAGTGCATAGTGCGCTGGGCAGCCATCATGCTGAAACCACATGTCCCTGTACTCAGTGGCACGCCCACCAATAAATTTTGTACATGATTTTTAAAAAAATCCAAATAAACTTCAGCAGTCAAAGTCTCTGGGAACTCAAACGGACCGATTATTTTACCATTTAAAATGCCTGTCCAATGGTTTATCTTGAAGCAATATTGAGATTTATCTTCTCTCATCAAATGTGGGTTTGCTACGTGCCACTCGTGTAAGTTATGCAGGTTCATGTACCCATCTTTCTTAAATGTGGTCTCATCCGACCATAAAATTTTTTCAAAGAACTGTGGATCTTTCCTGTGTCTTTCTAACATTGTGCGACAAAAAGCAACTCGGGGCGCATAATCCCGGGGCAGGAGAGGTTGAACACGCTGTATGTGGTTTGGATGAAGCGCATCACTTACTTGCTATTGCACACTTTGATACCGATCAGTACTCCTTCGTTTACTGTGCATCTTTACATGTTCGTGCTTGTTGATTTCGTACTGTTACTAATTTTGGATTCGTGAACTGGACTGTTGATCGCTTGTGATTTGGATTTGGACTGTTTAATTGCTCTTCAAAACAACATTTGCTTTCCTTAGACTATCTTTGATAGTGTGATTGTGCAGTGCCGCTATGTCCGTGTACATCATACAAGAATATGCTAACATGCGCCTCATTTATGGGGAATGCAGATGCAACGCTAGTGCTGCAGCGAGACTTTACTGTGAGAGGTACCCGAATGCAGCTCGTCATCCAGATCATCGAGTGTTCACAAATGTGCACCGCTTACTGTTCTCAGAGGGCTAACTACCAAGCCAATCACACGGTGAGGGAAGATCTTTCCTTCCTTACGAAGACGTGGTGCTAGGAGCTGTCGAAGAAGACCCGAGTACTTCAGTGCGTGCAATAGAACTAAAAACAGGTGTGCCCAAAAGTACAGCCCATAGAATCTTGCAAAAAAACGTGCTCCATCCATACTACGTACAGCGTGTTCAAGCTCTTCTGCCCCGGGATTATGAGCCCCGAGTTGCTTTTTGTCGCACAATGTTAGAAAGACACAGGGAAGATCCACGGTTCTTTGAAAAAATTTTATGGTCAGATGAGACCACATTTAAGAAAGATGGGTACATGAACCTGCATAAGTTACACGAGTGGTACGTAGCAAACCCACATTTGATGAGAGAAGATAAATCTCAATATCGCTTCAAGATAAACCATTGGACAGGAATTTTAAATGGTAAAATAATCGGTCCATTTGAGTTCCCAGAGATTTTAACTGCTGAGGTTTATTTAGGTTTTTTGCAAAATCATTTAGAAAATTTATTGGAGGACGTGCCACTGAGTATTTACAGGGGCATGTGGTTTCAGCATGATGGCTGACCAGCGCACTATGCACTCTCAGTGAGAGAGTATCTCGATCAAAACTTTCCAGGCAGATGGATAGGGCGGTCTGGTACAATACCGTGGCCAGCCCGGTCACCAGATTTGAATCCGTTAGATTTTTTTTACTGGGGAACTGTAAAAAAAAAGTGTCGATTCAAAATGTAGCTGAGCTATGGCAAAGACTATTGGAAGCAGCTGAGTTTGTTAATAACCGTGGATTCGCTTTTTTAAGAAGATGTCGAGCGTGTATTGCGGCTGAAGGAAAGCAGTTTGAGCATTAGCTGTAAAGGTAAATCATCGTCAGCAGCATTTTGACGCCCACTGTTGTGCAAACAGTTATCCTTAAGGGTCCTTGTGCGTTTTCATAATCGCTGTTTAATTGAGAAATTTTGAAAAATTTTCATCAGTTTTTCTTCAAATAAAAATTGTGCATAAGTTAACGAGTAATCTTCTAAGTGTTATACCATTTTGGAATCCTTATTAAATGCGCCAACTTTTAAGGTTACTTGCCAAACTCTCGTAGTACATTTTTTTTCCAGCACACCCAACAGCCAGTTAAAGTTGAACAAAGTTTTACTTTGGAATACTTGGTTGGGAAATAAGTGGCAATTTTTCCTGAACGAGAAAAGTTGGCAGTAAGGTTGAGACACCAGTTTGAAGATGCATTATTCATCATTACATTGTAAAAATAAAATCCAAAAAAAGTTAATATTTGTAGTAACAGGAGTTGACAGACTGCCGTAGGGTGTGAAATATTTTTTCAAAGACCTATAATTTTCAAAACACATACATAAATTTTTTTAAATATTTTTCTGATAGCTGTTATTACTTTGCCTATCACCCGGTTTCGGCTTGACGTCGACTTCTGGGACACCCTGTATATTTTTTTTTGAAAAAAGGCTTGAATTAGGTGTGCTTTGGGACATTCAGAACTAAGCATGCTGGAAAAAAATGTACTACGAGCGTTTGGCAAGTAACCTTAAAAGTTGGCGCATTTGATAACGATTCCAAAATGGTATATCACTTAGAAGATTACTCGTTAACTTATGCACAATTTTTATTTGAAAAAAAACTGATGAAAATTCTTGAAAATTTCCTAATTAAACAGCGATTATGAAACGCACAAGGACCCTTAAGGATAACTGTTTGCACAACAGTGGGCGTCAAAATGCTGCTGATGATGATTTTTTAAATATTTTTCTGATAGCTGTTTCGGCTTGACGTCGACTTCTGGGACACCCTGTATAAAAATCCCCAAAATATGATTTTTCCTAAAACAACATTTTGTGATGTGATCTGTTTGCAACTGAGGGATAAACCTTCAATTTCTGGACACCCTGTATATCGCCTATACCTTAGACTCCGAATCCATCAATTTGATGCTACTACCGACGATGGGCAGCAAGTGAACTATTTTCTGCGGGCGCCCATGGTCAGTACACATGTTTTGCTACACAGTATAAATAAAACATTTTGCGCTAAGATGCACTGAATATCTGATGAACCTTTTGTCTCTGTTTCCAAGACTGCGGAGGAAGGGTAGACCTTTTTTCAGAAAACATATTTACATACTTACTGTACTTTATAACCGTAAGAAAATCGTTTCTCTCCAAATTGTGTATATGCCGATTGAGATCCGAATATCCAATGCTTTTAGGGAATCGAAAAACTGTTGGGCATTCTTAAGGTCATCCTCTGTATCATCGATAAAAGCGTGTATTACGATATCGCTGCCATCTTCAGTATGGTGCTCAAATTCGTCTGGAATCAGTTCTACCGAGGGCTTGACTTCGATTCTTTCTTCAAATTCACGATGGGAACATCTTCTGGCCATTTTCAGAAATTATGAGTTCGCTATGGATACAAAGCTTTGTACACCTTGCTTGTGTCTCTGAAGCTCTGAAATCAGGATGTGGATTGCTGTTAAGCGCTGTAGTACGTAAACGGTTACTCACATGTTTCAAATGAAAATTGTAGGAAATCGTACAGAAAGACCAGTCTTAAAACACGAACTGCTATCTGAAAGGCAATACCTGCTATCACTCCTCTTTGACTATATAAAACAGATTCAATCTGAAACCATTTCTGAGAGCTCGGTGATCAACACTCGCTATGACATCCCTCAACATTTGGGAGTACCTAATTGATGAAATACGCTACGATATTCGAAATATATACAAGGTGGCACATCGAAAACGAAACAGACGCATTTACTGGCAGCTCAGTTTTTTTTTTTTGAAAAACGCTCAGACCCGTCGATTTTGTTTTCGAGGAGGACACAAGTTTGGCAAAAAATCACGTTAGCACGCGCAACCCCCTAAGCGGGGGTGACACCACCCCAAAATCTTAAATGGAAAGGGGGGTCGAGTGATACCTTATTTTAAAGGTCTTTCAATTCCCTTTATAATGATGTAAAATACATGAGCTTCAGTTCAGTAAATTTGAAGATTTATTGATCTAAAGCTTAAAGTATACCTTAATAGGTACATCAGATTAGTTTGTAATACTTTCAGAAGAAATTTGACTAAAAGAATTTACATCCCTCAAATAGTGAAAGAGATCACACAAGTGAGGCAACTGCAATCGAGATCCAGCGAGGTTCAAAATGAGGAGAAAAAGTTGTTGAATGATCTTCAAAGTTACGATTCATCGCTCTATTAACCAAAAAAAGACATTTTGAGGGACCCCGAGACATATCCCAGCCATTCCACACAAAATAATGTCTTTGATGGCGAAAACGAACATGAGACCGAAAAAGTCACATTATCGTATATACGCTAAACGAGACAAAGGATGTCTATAGACCATCTACGAGCCCCTTCCCACTTCAGTTGGCCCAACTATTGAAATCTTAGTTTTTTCTTATCAAACACATAATAAAAATGTAGCAGGGTGTTATAGGTTTAAAATATTAACAATGAATATTTTGATAATATATAGTAGAAAACACCAACTTTATCACTCGTTAATCAAATTTGCAGCATAAAAATAACACATGTTGCAATTACAGCATATCAACCTATTTTCATTTCAATGCAAAATAAGTCTATAACGCATAGATGGCTTTGAAAAATAAAAACCACGACAATTGTTTTTATTAATCACAGCTGTCAGAATAAGTTTAAAATAGTTTTGGGTAGTTAAGGTTTTCAAAATGGGTAGAGGAAAGGTTATTAGTGAGAAAATTCGGTTACTGATAATTAAATTTTTTAATTCTGGGAAATCAAACTCAGAAATTGCAACTTTGTTAGACTTATCGCGGTACAGTGTGAGAAATATTGTTAGAAGATATAACGTAACTAGTTCAGTTAATATTACGCCACGATATGTGAAAAAAAGTAATATCACAAATGCCGACCGAAGAGCATTAAGAAGAATAATCATGAAAAACAGGCGTGCCAATTATTTACAATTAAGTACTCTGTGGAGTGACGCTGTTGGAAGGAGAATTTCGAGGTCCACAACTCATAGAGAGGCCCACAAACTGGGATTTAGCACTTGCAAGGTAAGTTTTCTTATAAAAAAAGTGAAGTAAAAACCCTAAAGTTGCACAACTTGTTTATAGGCCAAAGAAAAAGCCACTATTAACTCCACTGCAAAAGAAAAATCGGCTTATATGGGCTAAAGAACATAGACAATGGACACCTCAACAATGGTGTGCAATACAATGGAGTGATGATGCCCGATTCGAAGTTTGTGTTGGTGACAGTCGCGGTAGAGTTATTCGCAAAAAAATGAAGCATTCCATGTTGACTGTCTGAAGAGAAAAGTGAAATTTCCAGCATCCATTATGGTCTGGGGCAGTATGTCATCAAAAGGAGTAGGAAAACTTCATTTTATTGATGGAAATGTGGATACAAACAAATATTTGGCAATTTTAGAAGAATCGTTTTTACCAGTGATGGAAGAATGTTTGACATCCGGCCAAGATTTTGTGTTTCAGCAAGATGGTGCAGCGTGCCATACCTCAAAAAAGGCTATAAAATGGATGGAAGAAAACAATGTACCACTTTTGAAATGGGTTTCTAGCAGTCCAGATCTGTCATCTATTGAAACTTTGTGGCACGAGATGAAAAAGGTTCTACGACAACATCCTGCTCGTACAATCACCGAACTGAGACAAAAGCTTCAAGAAATATGGGATTGTTTTACACCAAATTTTTGCCAAAACTTGATTAACACTATGCCCCAAAGAATTTCAGCCGTAATAAAAAATAAAGATGATGTTACCCAATGGTAATCTTTCAATTGTTGCTTTGTTAACTTCGCGCATTTATTCGCACATTGTTTATTTGTTCAGATGTTCTATTAGTTATAGGTCTAAGTGATTTCAAATATGTATTTTTTACGACTAGAGTGTATCTAAAATGTTTTTGATAAAATAAATTGTTTATAAAGGCATATTTTGGTACAAATCTTGAAGTGGGCCAACTGAAGTTTGAAGGGACTCATATAGATCGTGTCCATACTGTCTATAGACAAATTGCGCAACGGGGTCTACTAGTGTGGGCGAAGCTTAAGGATTAATACTCTGAACTACCCGTTAAACAAATCAAGTAATTGGTGTAAATACTGATACAATCAAGCACTTCTATTATATCAGCAGGTGCTAAAAATATCAACAGGTGTAGTCAATTATTTTTTATATTGGTGCAAGTTGTTCAAGGGCGCTTTTTAAATATGGACGCATAAAATGGTTACACCAATTTTTATGGGAAAACTTTTTATTTGACAACAAAGAATGAGAAAACGTGTTTTTTGGGACTCAAACGAAATTGTTGACAGGAACGAAAACATTTTTTATGTGAGATTTTTAGGTATTTATGAGACCTACAGAATGATATCATACGTGAAAAGAACCGACTAATAGCTAAAATGGCCGAAAAACCAGGCAAAATGCAGGTTTCGGCACTTGTTGGTAATGCGACGATAACTTTACGCATCTACTTGAAATTCTTCAAATCCGCAGGATTCATACTTCTGAATAACAACAGCAAAATTGGAGTATAATGGTCAAGTAGTTTTTGAGAATATCTAATTGTTTATCCCAAATCGCCTGTTTTCCGGATATCACTACTAATTTATAGAACTATAAACATTCCAAACCATCTTGCCAACTGAAACAACACTTCTCCCACTATCCAACACGCCCTTGTAGGTAGGGTGACTTTGAAGTTGAGTCATTAATTTTCAGATAATGATTGTAGAAGGAAGATAAACCAAAATATGTGTGTAAAAATAAAAAAAAAATAAAAAAAAATGTTACCTTGTTTTATAAAGTATCCTCCCGACAAGTATTTCAGTGCAGACCTGTATTTGATCGTGCGGTCTTGGAGCACCGGCATGCTCTCCCCTGTGAGGTCTTAAGTCACCTGATTCACGAGCCCTTTGTACTACATTAACAAAGGCACGAGGGGTTGGTAGCACTCGATTGGGAACCGATCCGCATAAACCCGTGATGCCGCGTAAATAAGAATCATGTCCACAAGTTCAGCATTTTCGTAAACATGTGCCATTTTTGATTTCGTTTGAGCCACGCAACAGACACCACTATTCACTCACGTGTTACCGACTGACACTGACTGTATACAAATGAATAAAATAATTGTAAAAACATCGTTCCAAATTCTTTCGCTTTTTTGTTTCCGATGCGATGAACCGATAAGGCGGATTATATCCGTTGTTGCCAAACACGAGCACATAATATTATTATTGAGACAGGGCGGTACTCAAACTTCCAAAGAGCTATAACTTTGTTACTTTAATTTTACCAGAAAAATGGTAAAGGAAAAAACATTTCTTTTGATCAGATCTACTCACTGTTAAAATAAATGACTCAACTTCGAAGTCACCCTGTATATACAGGATTAATTCAAAGAACATGACGAAATTTAGACCTGGGTACCTATATAAAATTTGCAGTATAGCAAAAATTCATCATATATCTCAAGTGTTACTTCAAAGTATTACAAACGACTAAATTATTACTTAAAAAAGCATCACGCGCATTATTTGCGTAAAGGCTTCAAAAAAGTAACCCTAGTAGTTTTCCACAACAATATAAACTCTAAAATCATTTGGAAGACTCTGAATCAATGGATGAGACATCGAAATCTAGATAGGAAGAAAAATATCAAGCATAGTACGGTAGATACGATTTGAGGAACTTCCACCAAGATTTTTTTTTAGCTGCCCCCCTCTTGTTTTGAGCTGGGTACGCCCTTGACCTGATTAGCACTGATTATCATCTTTCACCTAAAGATACCTAATGAAAACATACATCTATGAGACAGTGGCAGACCCAAACACTCTAACTTTAAAACTATCTTTCAGATCCCTTTTTAGACGGCGAAATACACAGTTGTAAGGCTTTAAAAATCGTCTGGAACCACCCTCCGAGGATATTACCAAAAAAAAACTGACATATTAAATCCTATTTGTATAGAGGGTGATAAGTGTAGTTCCCTTTCATGTATCAGACCAACTGGGCTTTTTGCTATTTCAATTGGGAATAGTAACACTATACGCATTAACAATGAAAGATGTGAAAAAATATAGAGTATCGAAGTTGTCTTAACGCTTTTTGTGTTCAATAAAGCATGTTCGAAAGATGCATAGAGATTTCATCTTTGTTAGGATATTTTAACGATAGCAAAACAAATATTTCTCACCTGCTGAATTAGAATAATGCAACTATACCGAATTAGACAAAAGACTACTGGGTGGGTACATTGAATTGAAAGTGCTGATGGATTGATAAGATTAGATATCGCATAAAACTTTTATTAGATACTAGAACTAATCCATTCAATACACTATGTCTAATCAATATGC